TATATATTTGGATAGCAGTCAAATGAAATTGGGTCACTATAGAGGCTAGACTCAATAGAATTTAGGAGTGAGTCTTGGAAGTTTTGAAATCTAGCATCTCGAAGGAAAGCTAGAATGGAGGTGTTTAAATCTTCTTTTGTAAGGGGTTTTATCCCAATTTGAACAAGGCCAATGTGAATGTATTTATTGTTTCTGGCTAGATGTTTTTTTAAGGATTTTTTAGAGAAGATTTGGATGGTCTTAAAAGGTTTTGTAAGATGAATATATCTTTCTTTAGTTTTGATAGTAAAATCTATTTTGAAAATATCATATTTGGATTTTTGATAAATCTATATTTAAAAAAGTTTTGGAATCTTCTAATCATCAATGTTTTTTATAAGATCTTCAATTGTTATCTCTTCACTTTGTACAATCTTTCTACTTTCAGAAGTTTCAGAGGTAAAAAAGGCTGAAATAGAATTAGTCCTATGAAAAAAAGAATCCATAGTTTGAAAAGATAAACTAGAATCCACACACACACATAAGAAGGTTTAAACATAAGGCTCTAATTTAGATATTAAACAAAGAAATACTTTAAGGTTATTACAACATACACTTGTAGAATTCTACACAACATAATCCTGTGAATAGTTTCCAATTAGCCAATGTTAACATATTGGGCACTTTTAATTAATCATGACTTACCCAAGTAATTTTTTTTTAAGAAAAGAAATAAAAGTCAGAAAAATAATGGTCATTCTTAATTAATTATGTCAATTCAATTACTTAAATTATAAGTTAAACTAATTTATTAGGTTATGCTATGCTAAGGCTTGAACTAAAAAATTTTCAATGTAAAAACAATATCCAGACTGCAAGGATTCTTTCCAAATAAGAAGTTTACAAGTCAAAAGGTAACAAATAATAAAATTCGTATTGCATTTGCTAACCTATGTCGTAAAACCTTTTTAAGCTTTGATTGACCTAAAATTTTAACTCAATATAGAACAATAAGTCTGGACACTTTTGGTAAAATTTCAACCCGATCCAACAATCAAGTTGAGAACTATGCTTGATAGCGAAAAACTGAACAAAATGCATAATTATGCTAGAATCTTAATTTCCTTATTCATCCTGTTCTTAGATCATATAAGAGCTCTTTGGCATTATTTTTTAATCTGGCCAATAATTCAATTGTGAAACCTCTTGATCTGATTATTTTCCTACCTCAAGTTTCAAATTAAACTATGTGGGAGTTATCCCAAGATGAAATAGTCATCTTGATAGGCTTGAAGGCTACCTAGATTATCAGTAATAGTTTTGAATTTTAAAAAATCAAGATAAAATATTTTCTTAATATTAAAACAATAATATATTAGATCGATCAGGGCTTTGTGGTTTAACTTGCTAAACCTGAGACCCGAGTCATAAACTTCATTGGGTTTAATAACTCTTTTTTAAAATAGAAAAACTATCTTTACTTAATTATATTATAATAAAAATAAATGTTCACAAAATCAAGTACTAACCAGATACCAGAATGTTTATTTGAAACTAAGATAATCATATAAAAATCAAATCAAAACAAATCATGAAGGTCAATTCAAAATCAACTAATTATTAAAAGATAAAATTAAATAATATATATAAAAATAATGAGTGATTTGCTTGCATTGTTTATATAAATGGTGCAAGAAGGTGATTCCTTATTAAATATTTTAGTGTCTGAGTTTATTCCCTCTAATTTTTTTTAGTGTTATTGGTAATAATAATTAAATAGTTTTTATACTTTATTTGTTAAAATGCTATACAAAAAGCAATCATCTTTATCTACCACAAAGTATTTATAGCACAAATTTTCTTGATCATATCAATTGCTTAGATCTACTTAAAATTGTATTAAACTAGTATTTTAGATGAGGATTGGCAATGGTTGTGTAAACCCCCGTTGAAAATTAGGTAGGAAAAAAAATCTAAATACTTATAAAATAGATTTATTAAAAATATCAAATAAATATTAGAACAGATCATGTACGAAAAGAAATAAACAAATATAGAAAAGTGAATAAAATATTACTAGGAGTGAGTTATTTGGAAATAAAATTATCATTATGTAACTAAATAAAATTCAAATTTACCGAGTAAAAAGTTTATAGAAAAATATTGGGATCTAGAAATTTTATCTTAGAAACAAGAATTTATTATTTAGGATATGAAGAGAATTTGGTATTGAAAGTTACTACATCATTGGTTTGATTGTAAGAAAGGTAACACAATTATACTACTCTTCTACAAGAACTTGGGTTTTTCTTTATGTTGTTTAACAATGAAGAAGGTTAATGTCTTTGTTTAATTCACATGTTAACAATTCTATATCTTAGATTAATTGGTTGGCATACCTATGTAAACCTAGGTGTTGTTAGTTTGAGAGAAGGAAAACACAATAAAAAAAAAAAAAGCATGGATGATATGTCGTTTATATTTTACTTTTTTTAATAAAAAAGCAAGCTCAATAAAAAATATAAAGCGAGCTCAGATGTGTGAGCATTGTTTTATAAATTGTTATTCAAATTTTAATAATTGTTTTCAATTATTATGTATATGACATAAAAATTTATTCATGAAAGTTCAATTCAAATCACTTTTTTAATCTTAGAATTTTTAGATATATTTTTAATTTGTTGTGATAATTATAGAATATTCTTTTAATAGCAATAATGATTCTAGTTAAGAAAAAAAATATTGCATCCATCGAGATAAACAAAAAATATGTTAATAAGAAAATTTATCTTGATGGAGAAAAATTCAAAACGACTAAATTTTCAAGTTTAATAACAATGCCTAGAAGTTTCCTTAGACTTGGATATTTTGTTTTATGTTTAAAGTGTTTTTGATCTCCGTGACATAGCATTAACATACAAACTTGTATATTTTTAAGATAGCATTTGGT